TTTCTTTCCCCCTTCCTTCCCTTGTTGAGAGTTCTCTATTCTCTATTTCACCTACAAAATATGCATTCGCTCTGCTCTACAGTATATCTAATGATAACTTTGGGACAGCTTCCTTATTTGAAAGGTGCATTGTCGCATGTAAACATTCATATTGTTTGTGACATCTGCAACTTGATATGTACACGTTTAACCATAACAGAGAAATGAAAGAAAAATTGAAAATGATGATCTGTAATAAATAAAGAAATCTGCACAAAAGGTCAACCAGCATTTTACCTTTCTATTGCTTAAGGATCTGTTGTGTATTTCTAATGGTCTTATTTCAGATTTCCAGCTTTTGCAATTTTTGCACAAGCAAATACCCATGTTTGAGTCTGTTACTTGACCTTAAAGTGGTGACACTACATTTGAGGTGACAACATTTTTGTCTCTTATCTATTGTAAATGTATACTATACAATACAAAATTACATTTGTTTAGCGCCTTTCACATCAGGAGGATGTGCCAAGACGCTGGACAGTCAGGGATTTGGAGCCAAACTGGGAGGGATTAGGATCAGGGAGGGTGGGGGTAGGGATAGGAGGGTGGCCAAAGCCATAGTCGAAGAGGAAGGTCTTGAGAAGTGGCTTGAAGGAGGCAAGGAGGGAGCGAAGTGACCCAAAGGTTGGGGGCAGAGAGGCTGAAGACCCGACCGGCAATGGCCCCGCCCTCATATAGAAGTATATTAAACTTCTCCTTCAATGTCTACATTAAATGTAGAAATAAGAACCTGATTGCTGGAAATCTGAAATAAAATAATCTACTTTATTGGTGATTCAGTGTTTTGGAGACTTCACCACAGTTACAGTTGTTGAAATGCTCAAATTAGTTTTTTCCCTGGGATTTTTGCACTGATGTTGAGATGGTTAAACTGTCCAATTTATATAATGTCGATTAAAAACATATAAATGTATTTGTTGTTTTAAGGCTGATTTATGGCACCTTGTGCAATATCTAGTCCAGCATGAATTGCAGAAGTAAATGTTTAATATTAGCTTTAGGGAGGTGTGGGAAAGCACAAACCTAATTGGATTGATTTTGCTGAATACGTCACTCTTTCTCTGTACTTTTAACATCTATGCAGCCTTTGCTCCCTGTACAATCTGTTGGCCTTCAATTGGCAACATTATTCATTTCCTTGTCTGAAAAAGTAACCACATAATATGTATCAGTTATCTGAGCCACACTCGCCTCAGTTGGTGCACTACAGCACAGTTTATTGCCTGGTTTATTCTTTAGGAAGAAAATTGGTTGTGCTGCAGAATGAAGTTGGCCAAGTACTGTACTTGTTTATTGCATTGACTCAGATTTCTGATGTTATATTTTGAAGTTATTAAATATGGTTCTTATTTCAAAAAAATTCTTTAAATTTGTGAGTGGTCTGATGCAGGAATGTTAAGGGACCATTTCACCACAGTAGAGAAGATATACTTTAGAGGTGAAATATTGCAAACAGAAGCCACCCCCTCTCAACAGCAAATTGTATACTTCATTGTATAATCGAAACCCACAAGTGGCCAGTGAATGGATGGACGAATGGTGACCACATCAATGGGTTGTCCTCACCAGTGAGTTTGTATTAATGCTGAAATCAAACCGACTGCAAAACATTTACCACATTAATAGAGTGAACTTGGTGTGATCACATTAATGGTTTCTCTTTCCCCTACATGTTATTTTTGTGGCAATTTACCACAACATGGTCAGTTTAAAGACTGTGTAAATGTACTGTGTAAACTCTTGACTTACATAATTCTGTCGAAATTAAATATTACTACAAAACTGTAGGAATGTCTGATAATAGTGTTAAAGAAAGTTGAACGATTTATTGACTGTTGTAATTTTATCAGACTGAAACATTGTCTCAGTTAATGATTTTTGTAATGATCCTGTTACTAGTGCATATTATGATGTTTATTGTGCTAATTCTGAAATGTTTCATTTGGGTGAAAGCATTTTAAATTGTTACTTTTAAAAAAAGATTAGTGTGCATGCAGTATTATCTGGCTTTGGCTAAGATGTTTCCTTACTTTCCATGGAACTGTTATTGGTCAATGGAAGAGAGAAGATGCTCTTGATTTGCAAATCGCCATAAACTTGTTTACCACTTCAACTAACTGAAACATTTTCTTAGTAGCTTAAGATGAGCCCTTACAAATTCTGATACACATTGGCTTGAGTGGCTTAGGATCCATATGGAGACTTAGACAAGTAGCTTGCATTTGATCTTTCCCTGAACTTAATCCTTTTAATCTATGAAATGCATGAAAATGCCTCTCTCCTCTCCCTTCCCAGACTGGTCACTGGAGGCAGGGAGTCATCCCACCCGGCTCCTGTTAGCCCAACAAGCCAAGCCCTAATGGGTAGGGTGGTCCTAGCTGGAAAACTTTCTAGACAGCGATATCAATGGCAAGCTATGCAGTTTTAGCTGGTTAGACTCCAGCACTACCCCAACGCAGTCTGGGGTGCCCAAGCCTTGGCTCTTGCCAACCTGCGCCTAATACTGGGGCTGTGTCCTGTGTCCTGGGGCATTCTATTCCAATAATCTAACTCTGAAATTTCCTTGTGTAGGTGGGAAGCATGGAATTCTTAGTTTGGTTTGGATACTCTTAAGCATGGTGATGGGGTTCTGTATGTGTCAGACACCCCACCTCCAAAAAAACAAAATCTTCCTTTCCTTCATTTGCAGTATTTTCTCTCTTGCCTATGTTACAGGGAAGTCTCCACATATAAGATGGTTGATTTGTGTGATCAATATTCCAATGGAAAATAGAAAATAAGACAATGCACCCTCCCCCACCCCGACCCACAGCTCAGGTCCGTAACTGTGTCTGTCCAGCGCCTTGGGACATCCTCCCGACGTGAAAGGGGCTTTACAAATGTTGTTGTTGTTTAGCAATACAGTAAGTTGTTATGGATGTCTCAAAAATATTTGCAGTCATACTTTCATTTTACTAGAAATCTGCCGTGATGCAATATTTTTGTTTGTGTTCTCATGCTGTTTTTCAACTTGTGCAACACCCCACTTCCAGCTGTGAAGGACTGGCTTCTTGCCCCTAGACACCTTTTATATAGAAAGTACTGGCTCTTTGCCCATAGACATGTTGTGCAGAAGGTAACCTGAGTAGATCTCCTAGGTATTCATAACTTGTGTTTAGGCATTTATCAGGAGCTCAGAGGGCAAAATATTATAGATCTGAGGCCTGTAAAGGTCCCACCCCACTGAAAGCGTGATTTCAAAGCAAGTTCACTCCATTCTGTTTGAACGGAGTTGCTGGCAGTCCTATCAAATGTGCTAATTTCCCATTTAATTACGTGCTCTAACTGCCAGCACTGTACCATCTTGTTAACGCTATCTAATTTGCTCTACTCTGTTGTATTATCTAAATGCTACAATGTTTAAAGCAATTAAGTAATGGGTTGCAGCTGTGGATGAAACTTTTCAGTCTGTTGGCTACAGTATTTCATAAATTACTACAGTTTCAGGAAGCAATAAATCACTTCCAACCCACTTTTCAAGATTCTTAAGATTTATTTTACTTATTCTTGGAATGGGGGTACTGCTGTTTATTACCCATCATAGTTTCCATGAGCAACGATGGTGGACCTTATCTTTAAACCACTGAGGTCTTGTGGTGCTCCCACAGTAACAGTATCTATTCAGCTAATAACTTTGAATCCTTTCAATTTTCCACCACCTTCCTGAGTTACTTTTTGATACACTAAAGTTTCTTGTATGCTGGGAGTTAGTTCCATGATCTATTACTATAAAACATGCTTGTGCACTTTCACTTTTATCATTCTTATCTTGAAATATGACTTGAAAGTATCTGAATTTTGACATTTATGATGTAAAGTAGCTTTTTTCTAGGTCAACTCTCATAGTCCTCTCGTAGTGTTTCCTTGAAGTGGTTTGCCTCCCTTTGGAGACGTGATTACCTCATATTGCCATAGAGCTGCACAGAAATGGAATTACACGCTAACAGTTTAAGCTATTTCATATCATGTTACCTTTCCTAAAGTATAGACGTCTATGGAAAATGTGTATAGTTTGTATAAAAATTTGTAAAATTTTATATAAAATTTGTTAATTTGTATAGTCGTAGAGCAATCTGATCCTTTTGCCTCTTGAAAGACAAACTTTCAAATTCATTAAAGGGGCTCTTCAATCACAACTTTGATATCTGAATCCTTTTGTTGGTTTAAGCCAGTACAAATTTAATGAATCTTAGGCCTATTGAAATTTACAGCAAAGAAGCAGGCCATTTAGTCAATTATGTCTGCTTGCTCTTGAAAGAACAATCCATTCGATCATATTTACTTACCTATTCCTTGTAGCCCTGTAAATTACTATTTTTGAGATATTTACCTAGTTTCTTTATGATAACTACTATGGATTCTGGTTCAAACATAGTACCTTGCAGTACATTCCGTATCTTAACAAGTTAGTGTGTATTGAACACTAAGTGTCTAAGAGCTAATAAATCTGGTACATCTATTAGGAAGTGAAAATGTTTTTGTCCTTTTATGTCTAGTAGATCCAATTCAAAACACGTGAATTAAATTTTTCCCTGATGCAACTCTTCACCGGTATTGTTATGTGAATAATCTATCCTTGTCTTAAACCTGCTGGTGTATTTTCTAACTAAGATCTTCCTACTCCTGCCTGTCCCCCCTCCTCCCGACTTGCTATCAGTGGGTGAGCTTGCAGCCACTTTGGCCTTTTTCTCTGAAAAGCTCTTCTCGAATCATTCCAGCCTCTCCTTCTCCTCTGCATTTAAAACTTGCCTTTTTAAAAAATATATATATTTCATGCTTTCAGCCACCTAAACTATGTCTCTTCCCAGCTTTGAGCTCCCACTCTATTCCTTAAAAGTGCTTTGAGATGTCGCCTTGAAAGGTACTATATAAGTGCAAATTGTTGTTTTTATTCGTGTTGACTGTGTGTTTTATTGTTTTAGGTACACCAGAAATCTTGTTGATGAGGGAAATGGAAAATTTAACTTGATGATACTCTGTTGGGGTGAGGGTCATGGCAGGTGAGATTTCTTACTGAACAGTCCATTCACAGGCGTATGTTTGACACAGTATTAATCAAGTGACTTTTCTGCCAGGTATTCTTGTTTTAGAAGAGGATGTATTTTAATCAAAACTTGCAGTAAACAACCCAAAGACTGTTTTCCACTGTCCATCACCTCCTCTGTGCACCCCATCTACCTCCCTCTATCCCCACATCAAATGCCAAGTGGAAGGAGGTCCTAGACCTCTTCGCCTCAAAAATTGAAAACATCTGCTCGGCTACATCGTCAACCCCTCCCCCCACCACCCCCATCCATGTCCCCTTCCACCCCACCCAGACCATCCACACCACCTTCTCCCTCCACTATGGCTCCTGCCACTCCCCCCTACTTACACTCCTCGACCCCAAACAACGTCCTCTCTATCTATGACCAGAGCTCACTCTGTCTCCTTGTCCTCCTGGACAACTCTGCCACATTTGACACAGTCGACCATGCTATCCTCTATGGCATGGCCAATTGTGTCAAACTCTACATCAACAACAGCAACAAAATTACATTTATAGAGCGCCTTTCACGTTGGGAGGACGTCCCAAAGCGCTGAACAGTCAGGTGTCTGGGCCTGAGAATGGGAGAGGGTTGGTGTACAGGTGAGGGAAGGCAGAGAGGTGGGAGGGAGGCCAAAGGATCGGTCAAAGATAAGGGTCTTGAGACTGCCTTGAAGGAGGCAAGGGAGGAAGCGAGGCAAAGGAACCCCTGGGATGGAGTTCCAGAGTGTGGGGATAGAAGGCTGAAAGCCTGGCCACCGATGGTCGGGCGGGAGACATGGAGCAGGCTGGAGCCCGATGAACGAAGGGAGCGGACATGTTGTTAGGGAATCAGAAGGTCAGAGAGGTAGGAGGGGGCAAGGATTATTTATTTTTATTATCTCAACTTGGTTTGTATACTCTTAAGCATGGTGAGGGTTTCCACAAGTGTCAGACACCCGGCTGATGAAAAAAATCTTATGTTGCAATAGTCAGAACTGGACGTTGCACTCCAGGTTCACTCTGACCAGAGTATTGTACAGCATGAGCATAATTTCTGGAAATCTGAGAAAGGATCTGGCAGTATAGCCATGTTTGTCTTGTTTATTGCTCACTTTTTTAAAATCGTGAGCAACAAGCCAATTAATACTCCAATTCTCTTACAATGTCCATCGTAGGAATTTCTATTCCTGCCATGGAGGGCACGTGCCTCCTATTTTTAAATATGCTAGGAAATCTGACTGCAATTTTAGAGATGTGGCATTGACTATCCCATTTCAGATTTCAGCATAAACACATGGCTGAATTGGAAGAGAATTACATCATCTAGTGGGCAAATCAGTTAGTGGATCAGAGACTGTGAAAGAGGGTGTTCTCGTTAGAAAGCTCTGATGGAGAGCGATGCAGCAGGATTAGAATGGAAAACATCACTAATACATTTATGCCAATGTTCCATTGAACTCATCCTTCTTTGCACGGATTCTTGGAACATTCAAGCAAGATAATAAAGTGTATGTAGTATTATAAGACGTAGGAGCAGGAGTAGGCCATTCAGCCCCTCGAGCCTGCCCCACCATTTAATAAGATCATGGCTGATCTTCTAATCTAATTCCATTTATCTCCCCTAACCCCATATTCCTTAATCCCTCTATCCTTTAGAAATCTATCAACCTCAGCCTCGAATATGTTCAAGGATTGAGCATCTACAGCCTTCTGAGGTAGAGAATTCCACAAATTCACTACCCTCTGAGTGAAGAAATGTTTCCTCAACCCAGTTCGAAAAGGCTGACCCTTAATCTTGAGACAATGACCCCTAAGTATTAGATTCTCCAACCAGGGGAAACAGTCTCATGGCATCTACTCTGTCAAGACCCTTAAGAATCTTATAGGTTTCTATAAGATCACATCTAATTCTTCTATGTTCTGGAGAATATAGTTTACTCAACCTATCCTCATAGGTCAACCCCTCATCCCAGGAACCAATCTAGTGAATCTACACTGCACTCCCTCTAAGGCAAGTATGTCCTTTCTTAAATAAGGAGACCAAAACTGCACACAATATTCTAGGTGCGGTCTTACCAAGGCCTTATACAACTGCAGCAAGACTTCCCTACTCTTGTATTCTAACCTTTTTGCAACAAACGCAACATAGCATTAGCCTTCCTAGTTACTTGCTGTACCTGCATACTAACTTTTTGTGAGTGGTGTACAAGGACACCCAAATCCTTCTGATCACTAACACTATCTAGTCTCTCCCTCTCTAGAAAATATTTTTTTTCTATTTTTACTATCTAGGTGAATAACTTCACACTTCCCCACGTTATACTCCATCTGCCAACTTCTTGCCCACTCACCTAGCCCGTCTATTTCCCTTTGCATTCTTCGTGTGTCATCCTCACAGCTTCATCTCCCACCTATCTTCATATCGTCTGCGAATTTAGATATATTAAATTCTATTTCCTCATCTAAATCATTGATATAGACTGTAAATAATTGAGGCCCAAGCACTGATCTTTGTGGCACTCCACTAGTCACATCCTGCCAATCTGAGAAGGACCTGTTTATCTCTACTCTCTGTTTTCTTCCTGTTAGCCACTCTCTAATCCATGCTAATATATTACCTTTAATTCCATGGGCTCTAATCTTATGCAACAGCCTTTTAAGTGACACCTTGTCGAAAGCCTTCTCGAAATCCAAATACACCACATCTACTGGTTCCCCCCTATCTAACCTGCTAGTTACATCCTCAAAAAACTAAGATTTGTTAAACATGATTTCCTTTTCGTAAAGCCATGTTGACTCTGCCTAATCATGTTATGATTTTCGAAGTACCCCACGACAACATCTCTAATTAAGGACTCCTACCACTGATGTCAGACTAACTGGTTCTATAGTTCCCCATTTATTGTCTCCCACCCTTCTTAAATATTGGTGTTACGTTTGTGACCTTCCAATCACTGGGAACCATTCCAGAATCCAGGGAATTTTGGAAGATCAAAAACAAAGCATCTACTATTTCTGCAGCCATCTAAGAGGATTTACCGGTTTTTAATCCCATCAATTCCTTTAGTACTATTGCTTTACTGATGTTCATTTCTTAAGTTCCTCACTAACATTAGCCTCCAGGTTCCCCTCTATTTTCGGTAAGTTTTCAATGCCCTCTAACGTGAAGACAGAAGCAAAATAATTGTTTAATTATCCCCGATTACCCCAGTGCTTGCCAGACTGCACTGGCTGCCTGTCCCAGAGAGGATCAACTTCAAGATCCTCACTCTTGTCTTCAAATCCCTCCACTCCTCCGCAGCCCCCTACCTCTCTGACCTCTCTCCTCACAACAGTGCCCGTTGCCTTTGCTCCACTGGGTCTGGCCTCCTTGTCCCCTGAATCCTCCACTCGACCATTGGCGGCCGTGCCTTCAGCCACTATGTCCCGAGACTCTGGAACTCCCTTCCTCACTCCCTTCCCCTCTCCCCTCTTATTTTCAGGTTTCAGCTGAAGACCTTTCTTTTCGACCACGCCTTTGGTCACCTTCCTCCCCCTCCCTCTGGCTTGGCCCCGGGATCTGTTACTGTGAAGCGCTCTGAGATGCCATTCGGGGTGGAGGGCGCTATAAAAATCTGTCGTCGTTGTTGTTAATGACTCTGCCATTTCTTTATTCCCCATTATAATTTCTCCTGTGTCTGCTTGCAATGGACCCACATTCACTTTTGATAATCTCTTCCTTTTTATGTACTTGTAAAAACTCTTACAATCTGCCTTTATGTTCCTAGCTAGTTTATCCTCATAATCCATTTTCTTCCTCTTAATCAGTTTCTTGGTTTTCCTTTGATGTTCTCTAAAGCCCTCCCAATCCTCAGGTTTACTGCTCTTCTTGACAGTATTATAGGCCTCTTCTTTTAATTTTATACTTTCCCAAACTTCTCTAGTTAAGCAAGGTTGAACCACTTTTTTCGTGGTATTTTTATTTTTTTCAAGGGAATATGTGATCGCTGGGAATTATGTATTATATCTTTAAACGTTTGCCATTGCTGGTCTACCGTCATTTTTTAAATCTAATTTCACAGTCTATTTTAGTCAAATCTTCTCTCATACCCACAAAGTTGGCTTTATTTAAATTTAAGACCCTTGCTTCGAATTCAACTATATCACTATCTAATTTAATGCTAAATTCCATCATGTTATGGTCACTCTGCCCAAGAGGAGCCTTAACTTCCAGATTGCTGATTAGCCCTATTTCATTACACAAAACAAGATCTAGGATCGCCTGTTCCCTGGTTGGTTTCTCAGCATACTGATCTAGAAACCTATCTCTAATGCATTCTATAAACTCATCCTCTAATTTACCTTGCCAATTTGGTTTTGAAGCAGCAAGCCTTAACAATTTAGTACTTAGATTTTGGGCAATAATAATAATAATTTATTTCAATTTATTTTAGTTATTTATTTTGATTTATAATAATAATTATTTATTTTAGACAGCATCATATACATAGCTGTACTATAAAAAAAGTAATAATAATAATCCTTGCATTTGATATAGTGCCTTATCATGTCTTCGAGCATGTGAAAGCCCTTCACAAAATATATTGTAAAGTGAATTGACTATTTTTGTAGGTGAAACACAAATAGACTTTAGATATTTTGTATATCATATTACTAATAATTCTGCTCTAAAGATTGCGACAAGGTTAAGCTTCTGTTAAGAGGACATGACAGTAATTCACATTTGCATCTTCTTGATGAAAAACATCAGCCTAATAAATAATCCTCGCATTTGATATAGAGATTTATCACAGCAAAATATCTCAAAGTGCTTTGCAGAGTTTACTGTAAAATAATAATAATCTGCCTGAAAACTTTCCTTTTCGACTGTGCTCGCAGTCACCTCCCCCTCCTCACATCCCCCGGTCTCGGAGTACTGTTAAGCGCTCTGAGGCTCTACCCTGAGTGGAAGGCGCTATATAACAACAACTTGCTGCATGTTGTTGTTGTATTTTAGAGTTGTATTATTCCATGTGGCAGAGTGTTTTAACATGTGAGCATTTTAATTGCTTTCTATGATTACTTCTGACCAATTAATCCCCCTCCCCCATTAGTGAAGGAATGGTAATTTAAAAAAACTTGAAGATTCTTATAACATTTAAATTTGTGTCCTCATCTTTCCAAACACTGGCAATTATTTTGATTTTGTGTTTTTACTTGACCTCTAGAAACCATCTGTGGGAAATGACATTCTGTGTAGGCACGGATGTCAAGACATCACTGTATAAGTATTGGGTTAATATCTAGAAGTTTGTATATGTATATTCTTTAGTCAGAATGCGGGGAGGGGGTGTCAAGCTGATACTCAAGTTTGACTGTAGTGGAAATTTAGTGATGAGCTTGAATATGGCATGATTTTGTTCCTTTTTTTGTGTGATTCTGCTACTGTTACTTGGTTTGTGGAGAAATCCTCTGGGGAGCATGGTGAAGAGATGTCCACATATACTCAGTCAGGTCTGAGCAGATCCAGAGCCGAAACAACTGACCATTCTACATTACTCTTTGCATCTGGAAACTGTTTTACTTCCTGAATAGTTTAAGAAGCATAGCTTATTCAAAAACACAATGTTTACAAAAAGATCAGTTGCAGAGTCTTCCCAACCACAAAGGGTATTTATACTATTTCTCTGCAATAATGTCATGAAAATGTTTCTACTATCACTGACTGCTCATGTTCAAAATATTTGAAATAATTCCTGCATGTTTTTTTCTCCATTTTTCACATGTAGTGCTATCCATGATCACACCAATTCTCACTGCTTCTTAAAGATTCTTCAGGGAAATTTGAAGGAAACTCTCTTCAGTTGGCCTGATCCTGGCAAAAAAGAAATGGTTAAGAGGAGCGAGTCAATTCTGGAGCAAAACCAAAGCACTTATATGAGTGGTAAGGTATCCATCTTTAAGTAACATATCCATGAGAGAAATGTAAATCTGTGCACTAGGATCACCAGGAATTCCTTCTTTTACATTTGTTCCCTATTCAACACTGGCGTTAAAGTAGCGCAGCAATCTTCTTCTAGTAATCGATCATTTGATTCCTGACTGATTGACTATGGTTGATCTGGATGAAATATTTTCTTAAGCACTGATATGTCCATGTATTAAATACAAAAATGTACAAGTTTTCTTCTCTCTGTCTCTTCCACCTGCTCACCCCCCCCCCCCTTACAATCTCATTGTTGCATGTATATGAAAACCTGCTTGAGTATTGATTCAAATGAACTGGTTCTTGAGTAGCCTGAAATTTACCACATTTATTTTGTTGGTGAAGGGAGGTGGGCAGTGGGAGAGAGAGGATGACTACGACAACAACAGCAACTTACATATATATAGTGCCATTCAAGAAGAGAGCAGAGTCCAGCCAGCATATTAAATGAAACTACAACAACAAATTACATTTGTATAGCGCATTTCACATCAGGAGGACCCGAAAGATGCTGGACATTTAGTTTCTAGCTTGCGATTGACCATGGACCTTCCTAGATCTCCAGCCATAAAATAAACTGGAAACCTTGACTTTCTGGAGTAAGCTGTCATACAAAATTACAGACTGAGTAGGGAAAGTAACTTACTTGATACTGCTACGAATAGTTGTTGCAGACAATCTGCACTTAATGAGTTGGATCTGTGGCCAGAAAACCCAGTGTGCAGCACTGCCAACAATCGGCTTTAGCTTGTTGTACTGGCTGCGGAGAAGGATGAAGATCCACTTCCAGGGTGAGGAATGCCATAAGTTTGTCCCCAGTAGCTGCACATTGAGGTAACTGAGTTAACAGTAAGCAAGCAATGGGCATTCAGGTGCTATATTTCAATGGTCCCTACTGCACAAACCCAATTCATGATTCACTGTCATTCATATATTGTAGTCGAGCCATCATGGGGTGGAACTGATGTATCCTGCTTTGATAAAAGACTACACATAAAGCAAGTGAAGCTGCTACTATCTCAATAAACACTGTTTCTTCTGATTCTCAGTGTTGGCTGGTAAATTGTATGTCTTTCTTGGTGCTTATGTGATTTGAAAAGCATGTTTGCCAACCATCATTGACCTGGTTTAAAATTAAAATTGATTTATGTCTGTGTTCCTTTGTCTTCCAGATACTATCGGGTTGCACCGAGTTGAGAATGTGAGTCACACAGAGTCTGCTGTCAGTCTTCACTTGTACAGTCCTCCATTTGATCACTGCCAGTGCTTTGATCAAAGAACTGGGCATAAAGCCACAGTGAAGATGACATTCTGGAGCAAATTTGGAGAAAGAAGCTCTCATGTAAGTACTGCATCCCCCTTTAAAATTGTACCATTTATCTTCTATTGCCTCTCCTCCCAATATGCATCTCTTCACACTTCTCGGCATTAAATTCCATCTATCATGTGTCTGTCTATTTCACCAGCCTGTCGATGTCCTCCTGCAGTCTGCTATTCGGAGCAAGTGCTCTGACACTCTACGCTGTGAGGAGGGACTATATAAGTGCAAGTTGTTGTTATTGTACAAGCCACATGAACCATTGATTTAATTCATAACCTGAGGCTGTGTTTGGAATGGGAGTGCTACTTATTAAAGAAAATGTAACCTTACTAAGTTAGCATTACAGCCTTTGATTGACATATAAGAATAGCTATGGTGTTTTGGAACACCCAGACTTAATGGAATGAAGGAGAGTCAAAGTTTGGAGTTCAGTGATCTTGAATACTTGTACCTGATGAGGCTGGTTCTGTAGATTTCATTGCAGTGGTGTCCTTGATCAAAAGCCAATCCCTGATGTTGCTGTCCATTCATTTCCATATCCTACATGATGGATGCAGATCTAGTAGTCTTGGCTCATACTTCTTCCACTGAAAGTACACCCAATAAGCAAGTTACATATAGAATGCACGACCTACCTGGCAATCCAAGTCCGTTGAGAGGTCAAGTGGGAGCTGTAGGTTAACTGGTGGCAAGTTGAGTACAAGTGACACTTGCAATGTGGGTGAAGAGACCAAACTTTTGGTTGAAGCTCTGCTATGAGACAACCATGACTTTGTTTCTATCTTTTCCCTACTCCTTCAGTGAGGAGTACTGAAATTATGGAATGTAGTATTAGATGATTGAAATAGCTGAGCAGGTAGTTAGCATCTGGGCTTTTGTATTTGTGTAACGGCCTTTCAAATCTTGGCAGTAAACCCATGGAATTGGCAGTATTCATTTGTTTGTATGAAAAAAACTGCTCTTTCATCTATGTTCCTTGCTGATCCACAGCTCAGATACTGGTGAGGTTACTTATCTTGGGCATTTTAAGCAGGCTTGTTAGGCTTCTTATCTGGTGCTTGAAAGTTTCTAACTCTGGATTTCCATTTTAATAGTAATTTGAACTAATGTGCTAGGACTTTAGGTATGATGCTGCCCAACAATAGAGAATATTTTTCCTCCTATGTTGTCACTTAGAATTAAACCAGCTTTAGTTAATTTTCCTTTCAATTTTAAGACCAGTAAAAAGTGACGTTTTATCAGAAGCATTATATTTAGATGTGTAAATATTATCTAGAACCAAAAATTATAGTGATTTAAACACTATTCTCTTCAAATGAATTTAGTTGGCATATATAGGCAGCAGACCTTGTTCTGCTACAGACCTGGCACCCAGCATTGGAAACCCTCTTCATCTTTGGCTGAAGGAAGCATAGCAACTGGACAGTGTATGGGGGAGGGGAAGAGGCATTCTTCCTCTACATCTAAATTCAAGAAAAAAACAGTAGATGTGATAAAAGCTGGACTTGAATTGTTTAAATCAGAGTGTGATTGTTAGTTTTCATGTGCTGTGTAGGATCAAAATGTGTTCACTTATGGAGGGGGCAGGAGGTGTCGCAGTAAATTCCATTGTATTGCAGCCCCCTCACTGGCCTCTGTTAACCACACACTCCAGTGAGTTGGATTCTGCTGTGGAATTTTGAATTGCACTTTCATAAAGGCACAAAAATGCAATTTTTAAACTATCTATTGTGCATCATACCACTTTTCTTCACATTGTCGGTCAGAACAGCATTACAGTAGTCCTGGAATTAAGGATAGAAGTGATCAGGTAGAGTTGAGTGTCTTTGGGATGTGTGTCCAAGAGACTCCCTGCCTACAGACACCAAGGGAGAATAAGGAAATGGAGATTGTGCATCTGTTCCACCATACAGGTTTATTATGTTGAATTGAAATTGCACAATAAAATTCTAAGTTTTTTTTAATCAAAATATCAAAAGATTGATCAGATTCTACACCATAATCTAGAACTCTCATTAAAGTTTAGGCTGCAGAAAATGTGATGTTTAATTATCCATTGCAGGCCATTAAAATGGAACAATTAAGACACTTTGTACTGGACAAAGCACACCATGCTCAGTTTCAACCATAATTGAGTTCATGTTATCTGTGTTTTTGTTTTATTCTTCACTCCCTGCAAATGTATCCCCCAGTTAGTGAGTGATGACAATGGTGCTGTGCCTTCTTCCAGTCACTAGGCTGTAAACAAGAGTACATAAGTGTCTTGTTGTTTGTAAACCCATGCGTTTCCCCTTAATCTCTTAAGTAAACTTTACTTTTGCTCATTTTCAATCACTGAATCAAATCACAAACTTGCTGAATGGGAACTTATAGGTGAATTTTGTCATATTTTGTTTTGCCCACAAAATATACAGTCAATTCACTTTACAGTACATTGTGTGAAGTGCTTTGAGATGTCTCAAAGACAGGCGCTATATCAAATGTATTATTGTATTATTGTGTGTTCAAGCTGATGACCTACCACCTCATCTTAGTCCATCATTGCTAAGCACTGCTGGTCTAATTCATTCACATTCAAACATGTGAATTAATTTCATCTATAATTAGAATAATACCGCTGTTCTGCAAAAGTCATTGCTCTACACTTATTGCAGTTAAGACGATGTGGAGTATCTATGAAGTAGGTGAGGAGTATCTATGCTGTTGGCATCATTATATAGAGAGATGGTTGGGGAGGTTGGAGGAAGCTCCTTCACCACTCAGACTGGCTCTTACTCTTGTATATCCATATGGGAATTTCATCCCTTTTTTCCAACGTGGGTCTTTCGGTGTGTCGGAACATAGATTTAAAGCACTAGATTTTTGTTGTTTTTTTAAAGAAAAGCTCTCTCTATGGTGGAATGTGAAAAATTGGTCAGATTTGGAAAAAAGAGTGCCCTGAAGTTATTACTTACAGATGGTCTTGCTTCTGCCAATGCAGTTGAAGTCATGATCCTATTTGGGACCTTATATTGTAGCAAATTCCTTGCTGAGAAGATTGGTGTGTGGAGAGAATTTGAAACCACGCAAACTTTCTTTTTTATAAGATGAATCATCAGACAAATTCCAGGCAACATGAGCATGAAAATCAGTGCTGAAATGTGATCCAACTGCATGTGACATAAATTACCTCCTCATTATACAGCAAACATTGTTTGCATTATTTTCAGCAGCAGCTTGCAGTCATTACAGTAGTTTATTTGCTTCAAGTATCATGTAGGACAGATGTTGAATTCTACAAGATTTTTCACATTTCCACGTTCCTTTCCAAATAAGGACTTCAAGCAAAGTTTGTGAATCAGAGAGTGAGCATTCCGTCTAAGATCTGGACAGCTTCTCTCATAGCTCCCCTCTTCTGACTCCTGTCCATCCCACTCCCCTCTTCCAGTTCTAGTCTACTGCTTGTTCCTCACCCCTCTGTTCTACCATCAGTGGCTGGACCTTCAGCCACTATGCCAGTGCTCTCCGAAGCCCTTTAGCAGAATATCTTCACAATGATTTGCTCTTTCTTACTAAAAATCGCTCATTGACCATGCTTTGGGTCAACACCGTTAAACTCCCCTGCTTTGTAGCAATTTGAATTATTCATCCCACATTTAAGGCACTATATATGCAAATTATTGCTGTAGTCTAATTTTGAATTGTATTAATCCAGCAGACAACTGTGTGTCAAGAAAACAACTGATGGATTCATGGGGACCACTGGACTTGCTCAATGGAATTTCTATATAGCCTGCATTTGCATCACCTTCCAGTTGGATCCTGAAGCTACAAATGTCCTTATTGTACTTAGCTTTTGGAAAAACATGCGATTGTAATCTGAATCATGAATTTTTTAAAAAAAACTCATATAGTAATTACTGGGACTAAAGCTGATTTTGTTTTGTGTACCTGAATAAATAAATGTGTGTAGTGATTACACTCCTGTACGCAAAGGAATTTAGAGGCGGTCTTCATGAATATTTTCCTTAGAGATGTGCTGTCACTAGTCATGAGTAGTGCTGAAGTGGCATGCTCTATTTAAATGCAATTTTGTTGTAAATGAGAAAAAGTTGGTGCACTTTAATTTAAGAAGGTGCCTGTTAACAACCCTCACTAGATTTTCCTTTTCATGGAAATGTCATATGAATGTCATTTCTTTCACACTTTAAAATTGTTGATATAAGTAGAGACAACTTCTTTAACATTTTGGAGACCCTTCTTTACTGTGCTTGCAAATTGTAATGTGTTATTTCATGGGATATTTTACTGTCACACAACCACTATATGTCAATCAGTACATTTTGATGGTTTTGAAACCCTTTGTCGATGTTTCATTTAACAATGTAAAGTAATTTTCAAATATATATTTTGATAACTGTAGTTTTTATTAAAGATTGGATGTTATTTTTGGCAGTTACTTTAATAAACCATATAAACCTTATTTGTGTAAATGTTTTAAGTAATGTTTGTGATTGTTAACATTTCAGTTGTGATTATATTGAAGGATGTGAAACAATGAGCAGTGGCTCAATCTGTAGCTAAAATTGATAGAAAATAATAGATTCTGCCTATATTGTACTGGAGAATTCATGATGGTCTTGGTTCAAATCTTCTCACCAACCTTCAACTGCCTAATATAATACAGGTGACACATTATGATTCAGCTATTTATCTGAACCTTAGCCTGTTAAGTATCAGTAAATCATGCTTATGAAAATTTATTATAGGCTGAAGGTTAAGGATTTTCTGATAGAAAATAAATCGTACCTTAATTAAACCCCCTTTCGGGGATTGATCACAAGCAGCTGTTTGGGCGTTTGACGAGTTTTTATTTTGGGGTTTCTTTAGGACAGTTCTCAAACTTTGTCATAGTGTGCCTTCCTAAGATGAGCAAAACAACAATTGTGTCTCTGCATAGTTTACTTACTAAAACAATACAAATAACTGAGAATCCTAAATATGAATATGAGCGATAAAATAGAAGAGCTTTGATCAACATAAGTTTTATTTAAAAATATAAGTTCAGCAACCACTCGGGACTGGAATAAAGTGGCCTTTATGTAAGGGTGGCCAAAGTGGACCCATGTGTAGATTCCCACTAGACTCAGCACATTTACTAACACTGTCTCATTGGTGAAGCGGGAAGCTGTGAGCATCACGTGGGCTGCTCATGCAGGTTTTGGTAAATGCGCTAAGAGTCTAGCATGAGTCTATACATAGGGCTTAGGAAATTGGTAATGCATTATTGGAAGTATGTTAAAAATTAAAAATACAGTCACTCCAATTTACAGTGAAGCGCTTTGAGAGATATCTTGATGTAATAAGGCACTATATCAAATGTAAGCATTATCATAAATTCACTTAGAACTGGCTGCTGAAAAGGGTGTCTGTACACTGACAGGGCTGGATAAAGAGTGCCCAATGGTTGCATTAGATGAGTGGTTGCTGAACAGAGGTGGTTTATTATGGGAAAATTGGTCAGGACTGTTGTTGCGAGCAGGTGGGTGCTTTAACAGCTTTGACTGTAGTTAACAGTCTGAGTGTCCAAAGTACTCATTTCATAATAAAACACCTTTTGTGTTATGGCTCTGTTCAAAAAGAGCATGAATTACAACAGCTAAAATAAAACCATCATCAGAGTGACTCAGGCCAATAATTGGTCTGCACCTCTGGCAATGAGTTCCTGGTACCTGCCATCCATCTAGTCAGGGTGAAAGCTTGAGCTTGTTGGATGTCAAATGACCAACCAGTGACTATTCTCTTTAGGAAGGAGGTAAGCGGTGTCTGCTTAGAGCTGAATTGGCTCCAAGGCGACATAAAAACGGAATGTCAGAATTGAGCCCACACTCTGTGGTGGCCTTGGCAGTCCAGTTCCTGAAACAGGCAGGTATACAGAACTCAAGGGCACTGCTGGTAACAGCCCAGCCAGCCTGGCTCATCAGTAGGATTTAGAAGGACAGATCAGTCACTGAGGGTATGTACTCTTCCTCCTCAGCTCCCATTAATCCTGTAAGCCAAAGCTCTAAGGGATAGGGTAGTCCTCACTGGACCCAACATTGCCAAGCAGTGCTCTCAATGGCAAGCTATGTGGTTTTAGCTGATTAGACTCCAGCAGTACTCCAAGGCACACTTTAGGATCCCCTTGCCAACCTACGCCTAATACTCTCTGGAATTTGGTAGCAGCATACATCGTTCGAGGGAGTGAGTGTACATTTAATTTCCATAAATATCTCTGGAATTTCCATCTACAGGTGGGATGCTTGGATCTCTCAGTTTGGTTTGGATACTATTAAGCATGGTGATGGGTTTCCACGTGTCAGATACCCAGCTGATTAAAACAAAAATAGCACATCTGAAAGTATTTTTCCACTTGCCCACCTAAAAATTCATGTCATCCGCAGACATGGGGTAAACTTCCACATGTATGTGGATAACACACAAATCTATTTTGCCTCCTCCAGTATCATCTCCAGGTCCATCAATGTTCTATCTGACAGACATCAGGGCCTGGATGAGTGTAAACTTCCTGCAGCTGAAATGTGTCCAAGACAGAAGCCATACTCCTTGGCTCCTGTCAACGTCTTCACTCCTATAGATTTTAACTCCTCAACCTCCCTGGGCTATCCTTCCCACTCACCGAACCAATGCGCAACATAGGGGTCCTTCCTACCCCACATCCAGTCCCTGACCAGGACCGCCTTCCTCCACCTCTGGCACTTTGGCCGCTCTGACCATACTTTACCCCAAATGCAGCCAAAACCCTCATGCATGCATTTGTCACCTCCCACCTGGATTACTCAAACACACTCCTTGCCGGTCTCCCCAGCTCCACTATTCACAAGATCCAGCTCATGCAGAACTCTGCCACCCACAAACTTACCCAGACCAAACTCTATCCACATCTCACCAATTCTGGCCAGGCTCCACCTGCTCTCCATCACCAAAAGAATCAACTTCAAGATCCTCACACTTGTGTTCAAATCCTTTCACTCTCTGGCATCTCCCTACGTCTCTGATCTCCTCACTCCCCAATCCACCACCCAGCGCCATCACTCGACTGGCACCAGCCTCCTAGTCATCCTTTGCACCCTCCACCCCACTATCGGAAGATGAGCTTTCACCCACTATGCCCCGAAACTCTGGAACACTCTCCCTCAATCTCTCAGCTTTGCCTTCTCTCCCTTTCTTCAAGTTCCGCCTGAAAACCTTCCTCTTTGACCCTGGTTACAGCCATTTTCACCCCCGGCTCAGAGTCGAGCTCCGCCACTGTTAAGCGCTCTCAGACTGTTCCTTGCATGGAGGGAGTTATATAAATGCAAGCTGTTGTTGTTAACAAGCAAAATCTTTAGTGGCTAAAGTGATTTAACCCTTGCATTTGATATAAGGTTTTTTCACGTCTTCTAGGCGTCTTAAAGTACTTCACAGAATGTACTGCAAAGTGAATTGACTGTATATTTGTGGGCGAAACGCGGCAGCCAATTGCGCAAAGCATGACCCACAAACAATCGTGGATTGAAATAACCAATTTATTATTGTTTTTTTCTTGAGATTATTGTCAGGCATGTGGAGTAAGGAAACTTGCCCAAGATTTCGCCCTGCCTGGAATCAAACCCAGGTCTCTTGCTTGCGAGCCGGGGGCTCTAACCACTGAGCTATAGGATTCCAAACTGGTTTAGCCCAAATTCACACTTGCTAGCTGCTAGTGAGCATGCTCTCCAATATGACTCAATGGAAACTTTGAGAACTTTTGGTTAGAATAAGAGATTTCTCAACTAGTGTTGCCAAACAAAAGCATTGGCACAAAAGTGCGTTTTGCAACATTTTTATGTTACTTTGAAAGATCAAAAAAAGTTTAATCATTGCCAATAAATGAGGCTGGGAACATTTTTGACATTGATGTAACATGTTCTGAACTCTTAAACATCTGGAGTCTGCCCACAACCAGCATGAGACTAGTAAAAACAAGACGATAGTTTCACTGACTCCATCTACCCGATTATATAAAAAAAATCCATAGTGGCTAAAGTGATTTAACCCCTTTCTTTCCAAATGTATTTCATCCTCATTTTTTTCCCGGTGACTTTTGGTCAAAGAACTCCACTGGGTCAGTACCAACAAAGCCCTTCATGGATGCGTGATTCAACATTGAGCTTGGCCACTGGCTTGGCCCAAATTCCTGCTTGTCAGTTGATAGTGAGAATTCTCCATTAGTGGAAGGTAAGCAAGTTTTCTCGGAGTCACACTGGTTCCATGATGACCTGTGGCTCACTGTGTCAAAGCAGTGTGAGGCAGCGATAAACAAGATGCAGGGCTATATTGCTAAATCAGTTGAGTTTGGATATCAAGACATCATACTCAGGTTGTGTAGAGCTGTGGTCACACAACACCTTCAATGTCATGCTGGACACAGTTCTGTTACCGCAATACACGGAGGCTGTCCAGGTCCTAGAGGCAGTGCAACAACAGCAACAAGATTACAGTTGTGTAGCACCTTTCACGTCGGGAGGACATCCCAAAGGAGAACAATGAGGATGATCCCAGTGTTAGAGGAATCAGCATATGGAAAGATTAGACAAGCTAGGGCTTCAGCCTTGGGAGCAAATAACTCAGAGGGGACTTCATAAAGGTGCATAATATATTAAATTGGATTGGAAAAAACCCAGATCAATAGTTCAGGATGGATTGAGGCAGTAGAACAAGAGGACATAGAAGTAGAATTGTAAAGGGCAATTTCAGGACAGACTCCAGGAAGGTTTCTTTTATGCAGAGGGTAATCAACAACTGGAACACTCTACCAGAAAAGGTGGTAGAAGCCAGGAAACTGGACTCATTTAAAAAGATGCTTGATAGTGTGATAAGGGAACGATAGGTTGGGTGTTCTGGAAGGATGAGTTTGTGTTGGCTGAAGGGCCTTCTTCATCCTGAGGATCCTGTGACATGCCTGGTGAAGGGAGAGTGGAGCTGGATCAGCTTTCTGTAGTGCTCTCAGTACTTTTTCAGCAGGCCTGCAGTACTCTAGGACACCAGTACCTAAGTCAGCCTTGCTAGCTGGCAGTGCTGGGGATGGGGGGGAGGCATCACTGGATTGTTAGAGGTGGCATTCTTTGGATGAGATGTTAAACCAAGGTTCCATCTGCCTGCTCTGGTGGATGTTGAAGATCTAATGTCACTTTGGTAAAGGGAAGGCAGTTTCTCCCAGTTTCCTGGACAATATTCCCCCATTCACTTATTGGTTGTTTGTGGGTCATTGCAGTGTGCAAATTGACTGCTACATTTGCCTACAACATTTACAATAAATTCTATGAAGCATTTTGAGATGTACTCCTGAAGTGAAAGCTGCTATATAATACGCAAAGACTATTATTTACCTAGGAAAACAGAAACATAGGAATGCACAAGACTGGAAATGGTCAGTGCAGTTCATCAAGTTCTTTTCTAAATGCATTGATCAATAACTCATACACCTCAATTAAATACTTACAATTCCCTCCTGAATTTTCTCCATCACCTCACCACATAACTCATTCCATGTATTCAGCACCCTCTGTAGACTAGTTAAATATAAACAATGTTATCAATGTGGTAGGAATTGTAAACAGGGTTTGTCCCATTAGCTTACAGCTCATATCGTGCAAACCAAGAACCTAACTTGCTTGTACAAACATTTCTGTTGATTTAAGGGGTCAATGGCAACATCACAGGAAATATGTATTTACAAACCTAAAATTAAGGGGCTTGCAAAATATCTGCATCACGGTGCCCACAAAACACTCCTATTGGTAGATGAATTGATTCGGCCAAATG